GCCTTTTCATTTTGTTGATTGTTTCTTTTTCTTGGCAGCTTTTTAGTTTGATGTAGTCCCACTTGTTTATTTTGCTTCTGTTGCTTTTGCTTTTGGTGAAAGATTCAAAATATCATTGCCAAGACCTATGTCAAGGAGCTTACTGCCTGTGTTTTCTTCTAGAATGTTTATGATTTCAGGTCTTATGTTCAAGTCTTTAATCCATTTTGAGTTAATTTTTGTGTGTGGTGTAAGATAGTGGTCCAGTTTCATTCCTTTCCATGTGGTTGTCCAATTTTCCTAATACCATTTATTAAAGAGATTGTCCTTTCCCCATTGTATATTCTTGGCTCTTTTGTCCTAAATTAATTGACCATAGATGCATGGGTTTATTTCTGGGCTCTCTATTCTGTTCCATTGATCTATGTGTCTGTTTTTATGCCAATACCACACTGCTTCAATTACTATAACTTTGTAATATACTTTGAAATCAGGGAGTGTAATGCCTCCAGATTTGGTCTTCTGTTTTGAGATTTCTTTGGCTATTTGAAGTCTTTTATGGTTCCATACAAATTTTAGGATTCTTTGTCCTATTTCTGTGAAAAAATGCCAGTAGAGTTTTGATAGCGATTGCATTGAATCTGTATATTGTTTGGGGTAGTATCAACATTTAAACAATGTTGATTCTTCCAATCCATGAGCACAGAATAACTTTCCATTTATTTGTGTCTTCTTCAATTTCTTTCATTAACATCTTGTAGTTTTCAATATACTGGTCTTTCACCTCCTTGGTTAAACTTATTCCTAAGGTATTGTATTCTTTTTGATGGAATTGTAAATGGGATTGTTATCTTAATTTCTCTTTCTGATAGTTCATTATTAGTGTATAGAAATGCAATAGGTTTCTGTATATTGATTTTGTGTCCTGTAACTTTACTGAATTTATTAGTTCTAATAGTTTTTTGATGGAGTCTTTAGGGTTTTCTATATATAATATCATGTCATCTGCAAATATTGACAGTTTCACATCTTTCTTTCCAATTTAGATCTTTTATTTCTTTTTCTTGCCTAATTGCTCTGGCTAGGACTTCCAATACCATGTTGAATAAAAGTGGTGAGAGTGGGCATCCTTGTCTTACTCCTAATCTTAGAGGAAAAGCCCTCAGCTTTTCACTGTTGAGTATGTTAGCTGTGGGCTTATCATATATGGCCTGTATTATGTTGAGGTACATTCCTTCTATACCCACTTTATTGAGAATTTTTATCATAAATGGATGTTGAATTTTGTCAAGTGCTTTTTCTGCATCTATTGAGATAATCATATGATTTTTATCCTTCATTTTGTTAAGGTGGTGTATCACACTGACTGATTTGCAGATGTTGAACCATCCTTGCACACTTGGAATAAATTCCACTTGATCACCATGTATGATCCTTTTAATGTGTTGTTGAATTAGGTTTGCTAATATTTTGTTGAGGATTTTTACATCTATGTTCATCAGAGATATTGCCTTGTAATTTTCTTTTCTTGTGGCATCCTTGTCTAGTTTTGGTATCGGGGTAATGCTGGCCTCATAAAATGAGTTTGGAAGAGTTCCCTCCTCTTCTATTTTTTGGAAGAGTTTGAGAAGGACTGGTATTAATTCTTCTTTGAATGTTTGGTAGAATTCACCAGTGAAACTGTCTGGTCCTGGACTCTTGTTTCTTTGGAGGTTTTTGATTACTGATTCAATCTCCTTACTAGCAATTGATCTGCTCAGATTTTCTATTTCATTATGAATCAGTCTTGGTAGGTTCTGTGTTTCTAGGAATTAATCCATTTCTTCTAGGTTGACCAATTTGTTAGTGTGTAGTTGTTCATACTAATCTCTTATGATCTTTTGTATTTCTTTGGTATCAGTTGTAACATCTCCTCTCTCATTTCTTTTTTGTTTATTTATTTATTTTTATTGCAGTAACATTGGATTACAACATGATATAACTTTCAGATGTACATTGTGATATTTTTCAAATTCTGTGTAGATTACATTATGTTCATCACCCAAAGACTAATTAAATCCAACATTTCTGATTTTGAGTCCTTTTTTCTTAATGAGTCTAGCAACAGCTTTGTCAGTTTTGTTTATCTTTTCAGAGAACCAGCTCTTAGTTTTATTGATCTTCTCTATTGCCTTTCTAGTCTCTGTTTCATTTACTTCTGCTCTAGTCTTTGCTATTGCCTGCCTTCTACTAACTTCATTTATTCTTTTTATAGTTCCTTGAGGTGTAACATTAGGTTGTTTATTTGAGACTTTTCTTGTTTCTTGAGGTAGGTGTTTATCACTACAAACTTCCCACTTAGGACTGCTTTTGCTGCATCCCATAAATTTTGATATGTTACATTTTCATTTGTCTCAAGGTTTGTTTTTTTTTTTTTTGAGGAAGATTAGCCCTGAACTAACATCTGCCAATCCTCCTCTTTTTGCTGAGGAAGACTGGCTCTGAGCTAATATCTGTGGCCATCTTCCTCTACTTTTATTTGTGGGACACCTGCCACACCATGGCTTGCCAAGCGGTGCCATGTCGCACCCGAGATCTGAACCGGCAAACCCCAGGCTGCCAAAGTGGAACATGCACACTTAACCGCTGCACCACCATCCAGCCCCTCAAGGTATTTTTGATTTCTCTTTTGACTTCTTCTTTAATCCATTGGTTGTTGAGTAGCACATTGTTTAATCTCCACATATTTGTGAATTTTCCAGTTTTCTTTGTGTAATTAATTTCTAGTTTCATACTATTGTGGTCAAAAAAGGATGCCTGATGTGATGTCAATCCTCTTAAATTTGTTAAGACTTGTTTTGTAGCCTAACGTATAATCTATCTTGAAAAATGTTCCATGTGCACTTGAGAAGAATGTGTATTCTGTTGCTTTTGGATGGAATATGCTGTGAATATCTGTTAAGTACATCTAATCTAATAGGCGGTTTAAGGCTGATGTTTCCTTATTGATTTTCTGTCTGGATGAGCTATCCATTGATGTAAGTGGGGTATTAAAGTCCCCTACTATTATGTATTGCTATCTATTTCTCCCTTTAGGTCTGTTAATATTTGCTTTATCTATTTAGGTGTTCCTATGTTGGGTGCATAAACATTTACAAATATTATATTTTCTTGTTAGATTGACCCCTTTATCATTATGCAATCCCTTTGTCTCTTATTACAGTCTTTGTTTTAAAGTCTATTTTATGTGATATAAGTATAGCTACTCCAGCTTTCTTTTGGTTTCTATTGGCATGGAATGTCTTTTTCCATGCCTTCACTTTCAGCCTGTGTGTCCTTACATCAAAAATGAGTCTCTTGGGGCTGGCCCCGTGGCCGAGTGGTTAAGTTCGCGCGCTCTGCTGCAGGCGGCCCAGTGTTTCGTTGGTTCGAATCCTGGGCGCAGACATGACACTGCTCATCAAACCACGCTGAGGCGGCGTCCCACATACCACAACTAGAAGGACCCACAACGAAGAATATACAACTATGTACCGGGGGGGGCTTTGGGGAGAAAAAGGAAAAAATAAAATCTTTAAAAAAAAAAAATGAGTCTCTTGCAGGCAGCATATAGATGGGTCTTTTTTTTTTTTTTTTTTTCCTGAGGAAGATTTGCCCTGAGCTAATATCTGTGCCAATCTTTATTTTTTGGTATGTGGGCTGCCAGCATAGCATGGCCACTAACAGAGCAATGTAGGTCTGCACCTGGGAACTGAACCCAGACTGCCAAAGCAGTGCTCACTGAACTTAATAACCACGAGGCCACCAGGGCTAGCCCAATGGGGGTTTTTCTTATCCATTCACCTACTTTATGTCTTTTGATTGGAGAATTTAGTCCATTTACATTTGAAGTAATTATTGATAGGTATGTGCTTATTGCCATTTTGTTCATTGTTTTCTGGCTGTTTTTGTAGTGCCTCTCTGTTTCTTTCCTTTCTTGATCACTTTCTTTGTGGTGACTTTCTTTAGTGCTATGCTTATATTTCTTTCTCTTTCTCTTTTGTGTATTTACTGTAAGATTTTGCTTTGTGGTTACTACAAGGGCTTACGTATAATGGTTTGTGTCTATAATAGTCTATTTTAAGTTGATAATAACTTAAGTTTGATCTTATCCCTTTTTATAAGGCTACAAGTCACATTGGATTAGGGGCCACTCCACTCTTAATCTTAACTAATTACATCTACAATGACTCTATTTCCAAATAAGGTCACATTCCAAGGTACCAGGAGTTAGGATTTCAACATATGAATTTAGAGTGGGCAGAATTCAACCCACAACACCATCCATTTCTCTCTTACGATTTTAAGATCACCAAACAACTTTCTGTTACTAGGGTGGTTACCCAAGTACCCAGGATTTAGTAGTGAGGGTCCTGGAGAACATACATGAGTCTTCTGGTCACTGGAGATGAATGTCCCCTTTGGCATCTTCATTGCATGTCAGACAATAATGGCATTCTGTTCATTCAAGAGACTTCAGTGAGTCTGGCTGGCATGAATCAAACCCTGAGAGCCTGGTCACTCTACTTGCATTGATAATGTGAGTTTATAGTTTCACCACACAATTGTGATGACCCCTCATTAGGCCCTGTTTGAAGAAATGGTTGGCTTCTCTCTCTGATGTTATTGTGTCCTCTCCATAATTACAAGAGGGAGCTCCATCTTAAAAGATTCAGAAAAACAGCCAGCAAAGCCAGGAGACGTGCCGAGGGTGCATCCCTCACCAGCCCTCTTTCCCAGCAATCTCCACACCAAACCTACTTTTAAGGTTCCGGCCTGACATCCTCAAAAATGAAGGCTGTCACACTGTGTGCCCTCATTAAAAAGAGGATAGAAGTACCTAAGTCACAGGTGGAGATTCCCAAATATTTTGCCACAAATAGTCCATCCTTTCAATGGCCCCATCTTCACTGAACGACAGGCATTTTGAAAAGAGGTAAACTTCTGAGAGCTAGTCCTGCAGACCAGGGTAACTAAAGCTATCAATCCAGGAAAATACCCACCTGCCTTTACTGTGCTCTCTGGTAGGATAGCCCCCAATAGCTTGTGTATCTGGGAGTCTCCATTGAAGAGAAGGAAGGTCTCGATTTCAGTTTAAACAAATATTCTTGCTGGTCATATCCTCTTCTGGCTCCATCAAACATCCTTCAAGTCCCGTGTCCCTGGAGAGAATACAAGGCTAAGACTTAAGTGGAGATTCTTAAGTGCCCCTGATATTGTCATAAACTAGGAAAGATGTTCTCTTAGATTAGCTTAAACATTTTATCAATTAATCACCTTGTTTATCCACTGAAAAGGATATAATCAAATGGCTCAGTTATGATTGGTTAAATATATAACACAAACTCTGTGGGCCATTAGCCCTAACTCTAAGCTTGAGAGTTTCAGATCCAGGCCAGGTTTCTTTAAAACTCAAACCATAACAGCCCAAACTTGAGTGCAATGAAATTTCCAAACCCTAGTGGTTGGCCCATAAAGTTAATGCAACAAAGTTTTAATACAGTAGAAGCCCTCTTAATGAAACACTGCTTAACCAACTCCCTGGATTAACCTTCACTCTCTATTCCTCTCTAACCCCACTGCAGCCAGGTGCACCGAATACTACGAGGCTATTCTTTAATGCAGCATTTTTCAAATTGTAGGTCTTCATATCAATTTACTGGGCTGAAATAAGTCACTGGGTCATGACTAGCATTTTAAAGATGAAACAATACACAACAGTTGAATTGTGTGCTTAGAGTCAGTTTATTCTAAAATGTATTTATGCCCATTAAATAATGAAGTATGAGTGCAAAAAAAAAAAAAACAAACAAACAAATAAAAAAAACAGACATGAAAAATAATATAAAAATGAAGTTGAATGCTTTGAAAAGACTTTATAAAGGCAGGTCACTAAAAAATAAATAATAAAAACTGATGTCAAATTAGTTGCGAGCTAGAAAAAGTAAAAGATGAGGAAAGAAATTGTAAAGTCTAAAAGAACTCCACACTGATATGTTTTACAAGTGTCTTTAAGCAATTTGCCCACTACAGAAAAACAAAGGCTGGAAATCCTAAACCCAATGTATCAAGAGTGGAGCTAATGCAAAAAAAAAAAAACAATGAGTAATTTCAATCAGAGGATCCACATAGTGAGCCCAAGACCAAAAAGACTGGGGAATGAATGTACAATAATATGCTTTAAGTAAAAACAAAAAATGTAAGGTTTAATGTGTTTTATCAGTATCAATCATACTTGATAAAAGGACTTACATATTTTTAAATTTTGGCCAGTCCACGGAATAGGATTTGAATGTTGTAAACTTACTGGACCTATCAATGAAAGAAGGAATCACAAAGCATACCCTTAATGTATCAGAGAATGTAATCAGATGGCTAATGTATAAGACGACATGATTAGGGCAAAGTACAGAAAAGAATAATAGTCTCATATTAGGAAGGACTACCCGCTTACAAGCTAGAGCCATAACCAGCCCAGATAACTAGTTTTCTATGAGGCTTTTCCTGCCTCCTCCTTCTTGCTGTCCTCTTTTGCCACTAGAACTGGCTCTTCCTTAGTGTCTCACTGGCTGCTGTGAGTTTGTCTACCCAGGGAACTACCAAAGCCCCTGAGATAATTCTCTCTACATCATTGTTTATATATGCATGTCCATCAACTAGACGCTAACCTCCTGGAAGATAAGGACCAGGTCTTGCCCAGTGTTCCCAGCATCAGCACAGAGCCTGGCACTGGATAGGTGCTTGGCAAATTTTTGTTGAATGAATGACTCTGTGCACAGATAAATCAAGGTGTCATCTTAATTTTCAATAAAAATGGATGGCAACTCTTTTTGAAGTAAACTGTAAATTTTGAAATTAAAAAACAAAAAAAGTGTTACAGTAATACAAGCAAGAGGGCACTGGTTGCATCTTTAAGCCAAAAAAGAAAATCACTGGTTAGGTCAAAGTTCACTAGACCATTACAGCTTGGTTGAAATAACCATTAAGACCATTCCACTCACACTGCCTTGACTCTGGATTTAACATGAACCCTTCTATGATTTTGGCTCCCCGCCTGGGATCTTGATACTTCAAGGGAAGTCCCTTAAATACGCAAGACAAGTATCCTGGTCACTGAAAAGGGAATGTCTTTACATTTCAAATTGATGAGTTGATTTTCTACCACAAATCAGAAAATATTAGCTGGTCTGAAAAAAAAATGATGAAAAACTTAGAAGAAAACTGTTGCTTTTATTCTCAGGATTTCTTTTTTCCCCCTCCATCTCTAACTACCCAAAATATGATCATTAAAAAAAATTTTTTAAAAACCCAAAAAAACAAAATATGATCATTTTTATCAACTAAATTATAGGTATAATTTAAGTACTTTTCCTGAGTAGCAGAATAATACACACTGACTGTAGAAAAGTTGGAAAGGACTAAAAATTATAAAGCAAGAGAAAAAACCCCACTCATAATCCTACTAGACCAGGGCATCAACTCTAACATTTGGCATGCTCACTTCCAATTGTCTTTTTTGCAGTTTTCCTTATATAATTGAGATTATTATATATGATACATTTTTATGGTCCTAAACTAACAAGATAACTTCATATGTCAAATTTTCTTCTACTTACCCTGTCCCATGAAGTTTTCCTTTTCCATAAATTCAAATATTCTAGAAAAATCTCTCTCTAGGTATCAGTGAGATTTTATTAATCACTCAATCAACAAACACATTAAATACAAGCTATGTGCAATGTACCAAATTGGTGCCTTGAGTATACACAGAAATAAAAGTGACAATGTTTAAAGAACTTAAAAAGCAGGCTGAGGAAACAAGCTCTCTATACACAGAGAAAACATGTCAAGCAACCCCTTGTTTAATGAGTTAGGTGGCAAAGTAAAGGGGTGCGGAAGGGGAGATAGCAAGGGTAGCTTAGGAGTAAGGGGGCTCATGACTCTGATAGATAAGACTAGATAAACTACATGATCATTTCCTTCAATCCTCCAGTCAACCTTGTTGAGATGGTGTTAGTATCATGTCCATTTTACAGCAGTGGAAGCGGCAGCGTAGACAGATTTAAGTAATTTGTCTCAAATCATAGAGCTAGTTAGTGGTGGAGCTGAGATTCAACCCAAGTCCGTCTCCAGAGTTGGGCTCTCAACACTGCCTTCTGTGAGATGTCCAAAGGCCCGAGGGAGACTGGAGAGTCAAAGAATAAGGGGAAACATCCAATCAAATTAAGCAGAAACAAAAGGATGAGCTTGTAACCTGGGCTTGGGAGCAGAGAATGACAGGCAAGAAAGGAGAACAAATGCAATACACGTCACTATTTAACGAGAAGTTTCTCAGGAGATGACCACGGGCAGGACACGGGACACAGGCACGGGAGGCAAGGGGTCTGGACCATTTTAAGATAATCAGCACTTGGGGGCTGCGGCTTCCCTGGGGATCACCTGCTCTTTTGAACTCAGACAAGCTGCCCCGCCTTCATGCAGCCCTAACCCTTCACCCCACCACTCACTGGAGGTTTGGGAAGGGGGGGCTCCTGGAACAAAGACCCTCATCGCACATGGAGGCTCACTCCTGCTCACACGCACCTTCGGCCTGGAAGACTGAGCCCTCCCTTCCCCCCGCAACATCCTCTGCAGGTTTCCAACACGGGGACCGCAGACATGAAGAACTCATTTTCAGAACGGGGAGCCCTTGAGGGGCAGGTTGAGGAATCGGCTGAGCCGCACTGAACCCCTTGATCACCAAGCTCCCGCCTTTCCGATCGGAGCACTACACCCGAGAGGCACTCTCGACCGTTGCTTTCTACAGAAAAGCACAGCGCGGCCACACTCTAGTCTTAAACCAGGAAAGCTGACGCGGAAACAGCAAATCTGAACCGGCCTCGGAGACTGCCGCGACCGCCGCCAGCCACCCTCCTTCCGCGGTCTCTGCTCCGACTTCCGCTCACTTCCCCGCGCCCCCGGCCCCGCGCCCGCCCCTCGGCTGGCCCCCAGCCTCCCCGGGCACGCGTGGGCGAGCGGGGCCGGTCAGCGCGGGAAGCAGAACTTGACGCTGCCTTTCGATGTTCGCAGCCACTCGGCACCCTCCTCTTCCGACTTCCGAGGGCCCGGCCGGGCTCGGGGCCGCCCCGGAGGGCAGGGCAGGTCTCGGCCGCCCCGGCCCCGCCCCCCGCACCGCCGGCACCGCCTCTTGCTGCCCCCAGGGGCGCCCCGCCCTCCTCTCGGCCCGCGGCCTCCTCCGCCTTCTCCTCCCTCCTCCTTTTTTCCCCTCCCCCTCCTCTCTCTTCTCCCTCCCTCTCTTCTTCTCTCCCAACCCCCCACTCTTCTTCCCCCTTCTCCTCTCTCTCCCACCCTCCTGCTCCCCTCCCCCGGCGCTCGGCAGGGCATGGGGTACCCGGCCGAGGGGAGGACCCCTTCCCTCCCCAGGGAGCTGGAAGCTGTGGAGCTTGAGCCCCGGCCGCTCTGCTCTCCTGTGTCCCGGCGCTTCTGAATCCACATCTGCAAACTGAGCAAGTGACGCCCGCCAAGCGGGTTAAAGGCGCGCAGATGGGTTTCGAGGAGGGTCTTTCGGCAAGTTAAGCTTTTCGCAGGAGTGGCTCCTCCATAAGGACCCGGAGAGCTAAGAGGCAAGACTGCAACTCCTTAGAGCAAATGTGTGCACGCAGGTGGGGCTCCCGGCCCTGAGGCACGGGCGAGAGTGGGAAAGATTTTAGGTGAAGGAGCAGAAGTCCCAGGTCAGACCCAGCTCACCGGTGTCCTGGGCCTCTTCGAGGGGGTCTGAGCCCCCTTGACGTCCCTCCAGGCCCTTGAAGGTGCTCGAACCATCTTTAGCGCCTTCCTCTGGTGGTCCTCAAGGCTTCACTAGAGAACAGTAGAGCCAGTATTTTAGGTTGGGGGGAGGGGATTAAAAGCTCAAATCATAGGAATTTAGAGCCAACATTTTTATTTCAAAATGATGTGCTCAAGAAAAAAAAAAAATCAGTTGGAAGTACAGAAAGACGGTCGGATCTAGAGTAAAAAGATTGGCTTAAATCTCCCTGCCCCTGGCTAGTTTTAGGCCTTGAACGAGTCACTGAAGCTCTTTGAGACCATTTCTTGGGCTATAAAATGGAATAATAATCCCTACCCTCAGGGTTGTTGTGAGGAGAAACTGAGATAATGCATGTGATAATGTAGACTATAAAATGCCGTCCAAATGTAAGCTATTATACCTTCAGAGATTTATGGTCCAATCTAAGGAGAAAAAGAAACGGTTTAACCCTGACTTCTAGCAAGACCACGGTGAAAGCTGTATTGCCCAACACTGTTTTAGCAATACTCCGAAGGAAACCCCAGGGATTGGAGGGACTGTCACAAAATTCTTGAAAAATTGTATTGACTAGGATACTTGTATTTCACCATCATTAAAAAATAGCTTGCCATTTAGTACATCTGAGAAGACGGGATGTTATGAATCAAAGATCGAGTGTCAAAATAGTGAAAAGATAGATGAACATTCAGTTTAGCCAAATAAAACAGTGTGTTTGTTGTTGTCTTACTACAGAGTTGCTCAAGAGCCTTTGGAATGCATTCTGTGACTCAAAAGAAATTCCCAGGAATCAGCACTTCAGGACTGATGGATCTGTCAAGAAATGCTCTTGAACACCACGCCCATCTTTTACTCATAAACTTAGGCAGATTGGACTGGGATTTCTAAGCTTTTGGACTTGAGGCAAGTCATTGCAATGTCACCTTCCTCATCTGTAGCCAAATGCTTGCAAAGAATTAAATCTCAAAGAGTCATTAACCAAACTTTTATTGAGTGCTGGTGAGCCAGCTCGGCCCAAGGCTATAAGCACACAAACATAGGAAACAAGTAATACTCCAGCCCTCAAGGAGTTTGCAATCTCAGGAGGAGACAAGCACAAATAATGACAGTGACAATGCCGTAGGCCATGGCCATTCACTTTGAGCAGCTGTCACTTGGCCAAGGGCAGAGAAGAGACGGGTAACATTAAAGGGGAGAGGCTGGGACTGCAGAACCAGAGAAGATAGGCCTGGTCTGAAGGGGGAGCCACCATGAAGCATGTACCGATGGCTGACATGCAGGGCCAGGTTACTATGTTTCCCGATCTTTCCAGAGAAGCCAGAAGTCTAAATACTTCTATGAAATCACCTCATTTCTAAATGTTGTCAGCTAATTCAAACTCACAGAAAAACACTTGCAAGACCATCAAAACTCAGTCTGTGGGCTGCCAGTTGGTAGCTTCTGGCCTGCAACTACCCAGGTCACCAAAAACTATTCAAAAGTGTGACAAGAACACAAGAAGATTGAGAGACACTCCTTTATAGCTACTATCACTAACGGAAGCATAAGTGCCAGGTAAATAATATTTAATCTTCATAACTATCCAGAAATAGTTATATGTGCTGGTCTTATTATGATTTTGATCATAAAAACCTATGTGAATAAGTCACCAAGATACTGTACCTCAGTGTATCCATCAAAAAAACCAACCAAACAAAGGAAAAAACTTGGCCCTACTTGGTTAGCAAAAAACTCTAAATTTTCCAAAGCAAAGCAAATGAATAGAAATGGTGAGGGGAACCCACATGTTTGCTGAATCCAAAATAGTGTCTCATGATTCCATCCCTTTAGGTTCTCAGAATACTTGAGTTTGGGGGAGAATCCTGGTATCCACACATATGATATTTATATAATTCTGTTAATTCTGTTTTAAAAGTGCTGCCCAATACAGTGTGCATTTGTTTTGCCAAACATGTCACCGAACTATAGTTTTTTTGTTTGTTTGTTTTTTAAGGGATGGAGTTCTGAGCAAAGATGCTAAAAGATTACTAAAGAGGACCCAAATACTGTCCTCCAGATTGGCTAAGATTATTTCAAGGAGAAACAAATAGGCAATCGATTAATTTGGTCAAGACCAAAAATTAAATTATTTTTATTTTCAAATTGTTGGGAGGAGGGTGCTGGATTTGTGAGGAACGAAAAAAAAAAGTAGGGAATGGGGGAGAGAGAGAACTGACAGCCCCTTCTCGGGGCAGGCTGTGGGAAAGTATTATCCCAGTTTCACAGACACAGCTGGTAAACTGGTGTGAGATTTACCCCATCTCTGTCTCTCAGCAGATAACCCGGCTCTCTGCTCACTTCATAGACAAAGTTCCCGTAAAGTCGGCTTTCTGCCTTTACCTTGCCTCAGCCATACCTCCCATTCGTGGTCCAGCTTCTGCCCTCACCTCTCCACAGAAAAAGCTCCTATTAAAGTCACCAATACGTTTTCTTTGGCGAGACCCTCAATGGTTATTTTTCTGAAACATTTGGCACTGCTCACCAATCCCTCCTTTTCTGGAACTATCCTCTCACAGATTCTGTGTCTCTCTTCTTTCTCTGATTGTTCTTTCTCAGTCTCCTTCTTGGGTGCCTCTCTCTTTCTCCTTCCTTCCGTTACTAAAAGTTAACTATTTTTTTTTTAATTGAGTTAATGATAGGTTACAATCTTGTGAAATTTCAGTTGTACATTAATGTTTGTCATTCGTGTTGTAGGTGCACCACTTCACCCTTTGTGCCCGCCCCCCACCCCACCTTTCCCCTGGTAGCCACTAAACTGTTCTTAGTCCACATTTTTAAATTCCTCATATGAGTGGAGTCATACACAGATTATCCTTCTCTAGCTGGCTTATTTCACTTAACATAATTCCCTCAAGGTCCATCCATGTTATTGCAAATGGAATGATTTTGTTCTGTTTTGCAGCTGAGTAGTATTCCATTGTATATATGTACCACATCTTCTTTATCCATTCATCTGTTGATGGGCACTTAGATTGCTTCCATGTCTTGGCTATTGTAAATAATGCTGCAATGAACATTGGGGTGCCTAGGACTTTTGGAATTGCTGACTTCAAGCTCTTTGGATAAATACCCAGTAGTGGGATGGCTGGATCGTATGGTAGTTCTATTTTTAATTTTTTGAGGAATCTCCATACTGTTTTCCATAGTGGCTGCACCAGTTTGCATTCCCACCAGCAGTGTATGAGGGTTCCTTTTTCTCCACAACCTCTCCAACATTTGTTACTATTAGTTTTAGATATTTTTGTCATTCTAATGGGTGTAAGGTGATATCTTAGTATAGTTTTGATTTGCATTTCCCTGATGATCAGCGATGATGAGCATCTTTTCATGTGCCTATTGGCCATCCGTATATCTTCTTTGGAGAAATGTCTGTTCATGTCTCCAGCCCATTTTTTGATGGGGTTGTTTGGTTTTTTGTTGTTGAGTTGTGAGAGTTCTTTATATATTATGGATATTAAGCCTTTGTCAGATATATGACTTGCAAATATTTTTTCCCAGTTAGTGGGTTGTTTTTTTGTTTCAATCCTGTTTTCATTTGCCTTGAAGAAGCTCTTTAGTCCGATGAAGTCCCATTTGTTTATTCTTTCTATTGTTTCCCTTCTCTGAGAAGGCATGGTGTCCGAAAACATCCTTTTAATACTGATGTCAAAGAGTGTACTGCCTACGTTTGCTTCTGGAAGCCTTATGGTTTCAGGTCTCACCTTTAGGTCTTTGATCCATTTTGAGTTTATTTTGGTGAATGGTGAAAAAGAATGGTCAATTTTCATTCTTTTACATGTGGCTTTCCAGTTTTCCCAGCACCATTTGTTGAAAAGACTCTCTTTTCTCCATTGTATGCCCTCAGCTCCTTTGTCAAAGATAAGCTGTCCATAGATGTGTGGTTTTATTTCTGGGCTTTCAATTCTGTTCCATTGATCTGTGCACCTGTTTTTGTACCAGTACCATGCTGTTTTGATTACTGTAGCTTTGTAGTATGTTTTGAAGTCAGGGATTGTGATGCCTCCCGTTTTGTTCTTTTTTCTCAGGATTGCTTTAGAAATTTGGGGTCTTTCGTTGCCCCATATGAATTTTAGGATCCTTTGTTCTAATTCTGTAAAGAATGTCATTGGGATTCTGATTGGTTGCTTTAGGTAGAACGGACATTTTAACTATGTTTATTCTTCCAGTCCATGTACATGGAATGTCTTTCCATCTCCTTATGTCATCATCCAATTCTCTCAGAAAGGCCTTGTAATTTTCATTATATAGGTCCTTCACTTCCTTAGTTAAATTTACCCCAAGGTATTTTATTCTTTTTGTCGCGATTGTGAATGGTATTGTGTTCTTGAGTTCTTTTTCTATTAGTTCGTTATTAGAGTATAGAAATGCTACTGATTTATGCAAATTGATTTTGTACCCTGCAACTTTGCTGTAGTTGTTGATTACTTGTAAGAGTTTTCCAATGGATTCTTTGGGGTTTTCTATATATAAGATCATGTCGTCTGCAAACACCGAGAGTTTCACTTCTTCCCTCCCTATTTGGATTCCTTTTATTCCTTTTTCTTGCCTGATTGCTCTCACCAGGACCTCCAGTACTATGTTAAATAAGAGTGGTGATAGAGGGCAGCCTTGTCTCGTTCCTGTTTTCAGGGGGATGGCGTTCAGTTTTTGCCCACTGAGTATGATGTTGGCTATGGGTTTGTCATATATGGCCTTTATTATGTTGAGGTAGTTTCTTTCTATGCCCATTTTGTCCAGAGTTTTTATCATAAATGGCTGTTGGATCTTGTCAGATGCCTTCTCCGCATCTATTGAGATGATCATGTGGTTTTTATTCTTCAGTTTGTTGATGTGGTGTATCACGTTGATTGATTTGCGGATGTTGAACCATCCCTGTGTCCCTGGTATGAATCCCACTTGATCATGATGTATGATCCTTTTGATGAATTGCTGAATTCTGGTGGCCAAAATTTTGTTTAGAATTTTTGCATCTATGTTCATCAGTGATATTGGCCTGTAGTTCTCTTTTTTCGTGGTGTCCTTGTCAGGCTTTGATATCAGTGTGATGTTGGCCTCATAGAATGTGTTAGGAAGTGTTCCATCCTCCCTAATTTTTTGGAATAGCTTGAAAAGGATAGGTATTAAATCCTCTCTGAAAGTTTGGTAGAATTCCCCAGGAAAGCCATCTGGTCCTGGGGTTTTATTCTTTGGGATGTTTTTGATTGCTGTTTCAATCTCTTTCCTTGTGATTGGTCTGTTCAAATTGTCTGCCTCTTCTTGAGTGAGCTTTGGGAGATTGTAGGAGTCCAAGAATTTATCCGTTCCCTCTAGGTTATCCATTATGTTGGCATATAGTTTTTCGTAGTATTCTCTTATAATCCGTTGTATTTCTGCAGAGTCTGTTGTTATTTCTCCTCTTTCATTTCTGATTTTGTTTATTTGAGCTTTCTCCCTTTTTTTCTTTGTAAGTCTGGCTAGGGGTTTGTCAATTTTCTTTATCTTCTCAAAGAACCATCTCTTTGTTTCATTGATCCTTTCTACTGCCTTTTTCGTTTCAATAGTATTTATTTCTGCTCTGATTTTTATTATTTCTCTCCTTCTGCTGACTTTGGGCTCTAAAAGTTAACTCTTGCTTTCCTTCTCTTATCCCTGGATGAGGTTATCCATGCCCACAGCTTCCATTATCACGTGGACCCAAGGACTCTCATCTGTTTCTCAAGTCTGTCCCACTGTCCTGAATGCTAGGTCAGTGTGTCCACAATGTGTCCAAAGACAAGACATCTCCAAAAGGACCCCGCAGATCTCTCAAACTCATCATGTGAATAGATCTGTTACCTATGCTAGAAACTCAGGAGTCAACATAAGCTCCTCTTCCTGTATCCCCCACATCGGGTGAGCCATCAAGTTTAATCTCAGTGGTTTTGCTCCTCTTCACCTCCACAAACTACCTTGGCTTCCCTCTCATCTGGACCACATGTTCAGCAGTAACATCACTTAACGTCTTTAATATCGTTGACCTCCTGCCTCTAGTCTCAAACCCTTCTAACTCATCCTCCTCAGTGCAGCTAGAACAATGCCACCAGAATGACCGAAGACACACATCTGTTCACATCACTCTCCACATAAAATCCTTTAGGGCTTTCCACCATCATTAGGATAAAGTCAAAACTACTTTGCCTTGCAAACAGGGTCCTCTACAGTCTGACGCCTGCATACCCCCTCTCCAACCTTACATCTCACTGCTTCACTCCTTGCATGTTAGGTTCCAGTAAAAACCATTACTGTTGTACTAATGGTGATGGAATCGAAATATTTGCAACTCAGCATCTTTGTTAGCTTTAAGCCTTTACCTAGAAAGACCCCTGTCTTCCTTATAGTGGGCAATAACCAAACCAGAGTAGTGCAGACTGCCAAATCACTGGAATAGGCTCTAGGTGGCACCTTCTAATATAGTGAGCTCCCAACCACAGTGTCCTTGAGATGGCTTTACACGTCCCTCTTGCCTGCTTCCACCCTGCAGACTCTTGATTCATTTAACAACCTTCCCCCTCACTTTCCCCTTGCCTTTCATCCTCTTGGACCTCAGGAACCCTAGTGTTGTTGATAGTGAAGAGACACATGTCTCTTAATGTTGGAAGCGCTTGCTGCCAATGTCATCTTATTTTGGAGAAAACTGTCTCCACAAAGAGAGACTGGTTTCTTCTACAGGCCGTTGTCCATTCTGCTCTGTTCCCAGCCAGGTCACAGTGGAGTTTTCCTCATACAGAGGGGAGACCCCACCTAGCCACTGGCTGAGGTCACACCTGACCTTATCATCATCAGAGCCCTGTGGCTCCTAGGATATGGTTGGTAACGAGGAGACTAACTTGGGCATTCATGTTTCTCAAAAATGAGTTTGTTCAAAGATTAATATTACCTACATGATAACTCATATGTTTTGTGGATGAGGCAAAACCATGAAAGTTGTTCACAAATGGCTATAGTTGGGGAAGCATTCATCCAGTGAATAACTCAAGCTGGCATCAAGGAGGGCGCTGAGGGACGAGGGAGGCTGGGGGTCTGTGATGAGTGAGAGAAAGGGGAAGGGAATCCTGTATGGACTAGCCTGAACCAGCGGGGGCTTCCCTCCTGTCATCACACCTCCTCACTCTTCCTTGCGTGTAGCTTCGGCTGCACTTTAATAGTAAGAAAATCCTAACGTTCTTGACAAGAAAACTCATAGGGGTTTTTGGCGGGAGGGAAGGAGTTTTCATGTCACTCTGTTGTACAATTAAAACAGGGCAGGAATCACCTTTGGATGCTTGACTCCGTGTGTATGGAGGAGAGGGGCCCAGCTGTCACTCTGCAGCAATAAACGGCTGATTTAATTATCTATTAATGTCCTGCAAACTGTAAGTCATTTGATATTTTCTCCAAGAAAACATTTCCAAATTGTCAGCAGTCTCCCTGCGTCCTAATTATTGTGTCACTAACTGTTGGTTCCATTTCTTTTTTCCACAAAATGGGTCCCTCAGCATTGGCTGATCATAGTTATCATTTTTAATGGCTAAATTTGATGGATTTGCGAAGAGTTTCACCAAAGCCACTGGCCATTTGGGCCTCATGCATCAGCATGAGACAAATGTGAGTTGAGTAACTCCAACTCAGCCATTTGTCAACACCTCAGAGGAGAGAATGTCAGCAGCACATGACGGTGATCAAACTAGTTATGAATTTGAATTCAGCTGTACTCATTCTAAGGATTATAACTGCATGATGTTAATCATCTATTACCCTTAAATTTCATAGTTTTTCTTTAATAAAAACTAGATACCATCATGCATTGCTAAATGACAGGGACACATTCTGAGAAATGCATTGTTAGGCAATTTCATCCTTGTGCAAACATCATAGAGTACTCAAACAAACCTAGATGGTATAGCCTACCACACACCTAGGCTCTATGGTGCTAATCTTGTGGGACCACCGTCACATATGTGGTCCGTCATTGACTGAAACATCGTTGTTCGATGCATGACTGTAGTCTAATTTTTCTACCATAATTCTTGGCCTGCCAACAATGGGTAGGAAAACACCAAAGGAACCAGATATTTAGTCTACAATAATAATAATTACACAAACAGCAATAGCTAACAGTTAACAAGTACTTAGTATTTGCTGGGTCCTGCTCTGAGTGCTTTGTGTGTATTGACTCATTTAATCCAACAAGAACTCTGTGACATAGTTATTGTTATTGTCTCCATTTTACAGATGAGAAACCGAGGCACAGAGAGTTTTATTAAGGTTACAGAGCCAGGCAGTCTGCCTTGAATCCATGCTCTTAAAACCAATCACCCCACCAAAAGCAGCAGCATCTTTATTATCATCAAAAAATACTCGTGATGAGCATGTGAACTGCTTCACATGCATTCTCTCATTTAATTCTCACACAGACCACATAGGAAGTACGATTATTCCCCATTCTATGGAAAAGAACGCTGAGGCATATACAGTCTTGTCCCCAAAGTCACATAACTACTAAGTGCCACAGCAGGGACAATGGATCAGTTAGCTCTTTCCCACTGTGCAAGTTGCCTGTAAGGAAGGATTCTGATTCTGGCGGAGCAGCAGGCCCTAAGTCAAGTCAGCAGCATATCAGCTGGGAAATTAGAAACGCCCCGGGACGCCCTCTGGAGAAATGGCGGATTCCAGGGTTGGGGCAGTGGGGCTGAAAATACAAGGTGAGCTTGGGCCATTTTATACTGACAGGAAGTAAAGTGGTGCTCAAGACGAACAAAAGACAAAAAGGATGAGGACATGTCAGAAGGGCACAGGAGCAAACCTGAAAGAGCTCCCAATGTCCCAAACTGCAACAATTTGAGAAACAAACTTAATAACAGTAGTATTAGATTATCACTCAAAGAAAATATAGAGATCTGTGAGTCCATGTTGATATAAATAAATGATCGGCTACATAAATAATAAGTAGAAGAGACAAACTGTCCTTACAGAGAGACTCCAAATTATAAATGGAGAAGGAATGAGGGACGTTGAGGATGGCCGTTGGAGCCCCATGGTGACAATTGCTGCAGGCAGGGTCCCTGAGCACTGGGGAAATTAGTGGTGAGAATTTACGGAGAAGCAGGATCTTAGTAAACCCTCAAAGTGTCTACCCAAAAATATTAATTAGTCACTGTGGTGGTTTTAACATGTTCACAAGTTCTTTGATAGTCCTTCCTCCAGAGAAGGAGCTTAATTCCTTTTCCTTTGAGTGTGGGCTGGATTTAGTGATTTACTGGTAACAAACAGAATATGGAGAAAGGAAATTAGTAACTTTCAAAGGTGGCAAAACATGGCAGATACCACCGTGACCAAGTGATCAAGGTCAACAGCATCTGTTATGTGTCATGAACCCCCTGATACAATGTCATGAGAAAGGCACTTCCCCTCTGGGGGCTTCTTCCCAAAAACTCAACCCTCATCTAGTCATGAGAAAACCTCAGACCCAAACACAGATGGAGGAACATTCTACAAAATACCTGACCAGTACTCTTCAAAAGTCAAGGTCATGAAAAATAAGGGGAGCCTGAGAAGCTGTCACAGATTGGAGTAGACTAAGGAGACTTGAGAAATAAATAACAACAACATGGTATCCTGGACTGGATTCTAGAATAGAAAAAGGGTATTAGTGGAAAACCTGGTGAAATCGGATTGCCCCTTTCTCAGTTCTGGTAATTGTAACATAGTATGTAAGATATTAACATTAGGGGAAGCTAGATGAAGGGTATCAAGAGGGGAGCGCCCAGAAATGGGAAGACTGTGTAGGAGGCTATTGATAATATCTTGCACCTGCAGACTGCTCTGTAACCATCTAGTGCTTCTGTGTGTTCTCTGGTCTGACTGGACCCACTCCCCTGCACTTGTATGATTTTTCTCTATTGCTTTTGAAAGCCTGGAAGAGGATTCGAGAAAACAGGTAGCCTGATTAGGGAATAGCAGTGGGCATGGAAACAGCTCCAGTTGATGGAAAACTAAGGAAATCAGAATACCACGTGGACTTTAGTTAATAATATATTATTATTGGTTCGTTAATTGTAAGAAAGGTACTGTGCTAATGTAGGATATTAATAATAAGGGGAAGTTGGTGTGGGGTATATGGGAACTCCCTGTGCTGTTTTCTCAATTTTTCTGCAAAATTAAAATTATTCTGAAAAATAAAATCTAATTACCATTAAAAATGAGAAATTGCCCCACCTGTGCTCCTGAGGTCGCCAGGGCTGAGAGACTCGCTGAAGGTGCAGCAGAGCTCTGCTGGTTTGGCTCCAAGGGACTTGCGAGGGTGCCCAGAGAGAGAGGATGGGACAAGTGGCAGAAGCAGCACAGAGATGCTGGAAGGACGTGGAGGAGAGGGCACGGTTAGTCATAAGAAAACAGGAAAGCGCGGGGCGGTGGGAGAGCAAATGCAGACCCTGTGCTCAGGCAGGTGGTTCTGCTTGGCTGTGGCCCCATCGTTCGTCCTCTCACCTGCTCCTCCTCCTCCTCTTGCCTCTCAAGAGACTGCGTGATGGTGCTAGAGACTCTGCCCCTCCGGATTCCCTCTCCACTCTTTTCTACCCAGCTCTCTGCCCCAGGGACACCCTGCTTGTGGCTTCCCTGGGGCCTGGCTGGTGGGAGGCACAGGCAGGCGTTCTGAGAAGGGAGGAGCATGGGGTCCTTAGGCCCCTTCCTCATCTGTGTGCCTCGCCTGGCCACGTCCCTCTTCAGCAGCCATAGCCCCCGCCCTATAGCCCTCACTGGGTTCCCCTGATTGCCCCTGCTCTTGCCCCTTCAGGCCTAGGCACGAGCAGTGGTCCTCATGGAGGGCAGTCCTCGGGTACCGCACCATTCCTTGTTGGTTTCCCTGAAGTCGGCCTACATCTTGGTAAATCCTCCCATTATTAAACTCGTCTCAGTTACTCAATTGAGTGTGTCATCTGTTTCCTGCTGGGACCACAACTAATAGAAAAAAATACTCATTATGTTTATTGTCTGTTGTTTATCTTCCTCTTTAGAACGTAAACTCTGTGGGGGCAGAGACTTTGTGTACTTCCTTTGTATACTGCTGTAGCACTCAATAAATGTTGAATAAATGAGTGACTGTTCATTTTATCCGTAGTCTCATACAGTAGTCACTAGCTGCAGGTGGCTATTGAGCACTTGAAATGTGGCTAGTGAGACTGAAAAATAATTTTTAACTTAATTTAATTTTAATTTTAATAGCCTCATGTGGCTAGTGGCTACAGTGTTCGTCTAAGGAGTTTCCTGAGCCTAAGGCAGTTGTCTGGCTGTTCCACTCTGCCCCAGTGGGGGTTAAGAGAGTGACTCAGTGACCTTGACTGTGTCGCTGGCCTGGGGAACTGCAGTGCTGGGTTTTCTGGCCTTCTCTCTAGGCAGGCGAACTTGGGAATGGCCACCTAGCTTTTATACATTACGTTTTCATTTCCCTGCAAACTTTCTGTCTCTTGGATAATAGAGTTACACTGCGCTCACCAGGCCCTCACAAACTTGCAGCTTACAAAAGCGCTCTGGCCCCGAGCCAGGGGAGTCTCCAGCTGCTGACTGACCCTGCCTGGAAAGTCAGCCTGGAAGAGACGCCAATGTCCTAATCCTCTTCCAAACCACTCTAAGTAGGTTTTATCCGGTGACCTGTGAAACCAAATGAGTAAAGGGACACTTTAATTCCAGCTCGTTAGAGAGCTTCTAAAATCTTTGAGAAAGCCAACACGGCAAATTTCTGTGCTGGGGGGCTGAGAAATGCATCCCATTTTCAAAAGCAAAATGTCTTTGCTTTCTCGCGGTTTTTCTTACATCATCCAGCATACAGAAGATATTTTCTGAGGCTTTCACGGGGATCCCCAGTGAAGGTGGGAAGCAGTTCTTGAGAAGGAGAAAAAGACAGTGGCCCAGTGCAGTCAAGTGATTTTCCCCAAGTTCTGCCAAGTCGAGTCCCAGCTCGGGTCTCCTGACTCCGTACATGGAACATTTGCACTGCTCTTATTATTACCCCAGAGCTGGCTTATTGCACAATGTCAGGAAATAGTCCATATGAAATCCTGGCCCACAGAGCGTACATGTTCTGCTTTTTATTCTGCAGCTTTTTTATTAGGCATGTTTTCCTTTCCCATAATGTCATCTGGAAGCAATTCCTCCCAACAGCTGGATTTGCTTTCCCAATTGGTAAACACGTAAAATGGAAGGCAGGGGAAGACGCAGAGTGTCGCTAGAGGAGCCTTTCCCCACCCGCCTGGCTCACGTTCTGAGGCTTATCTTGGGTCTATGCACAAGCCTCATCAAAACTGAGAGTGTCTTCAAACAGGCGACCCACACTGCATTCCCTCCTTCAGAGGGTCAACATGTTCTTTGGGGGAGAAATTTTCTGAATACTTTGCAGATAAAATTGATCAGATGCAGACCAGATTGCCAGCTGCCGAGATTTCCATGCTACATGTGCCGGCCAGCAGAGCAGCATCTTCCTCGTATGGTCAGAACTTCTGCGGTCCCAGAGGAAGACTCTGTGAGGCTCGCAAAGCCTTCCCAGCACTGCTGCCACCAAAGCCCAAGAGCACTAACGAGGTCATCAAAGAGGATGAATGTCCCCCAAACGCGCTCCTCAGGACCAAGTGTTCACGCAGACACAAGCGGAAAGGCGGCGAGCACTCTCGAATGGCCCGGGCCAAGAGCACAGCTGTCACCTGGGTGTTGGCTCACACACTCTCCACTCTGTTTTCAGGGTCTGCAGGGGCCACTTCTCTAGGAGTTCACCCACGCGGTCAGGTTTGGTCCAAGAGGTCCAGGGCACAGTTTAAGCTGGAATAGAGTGCCAGGTGACAAAGCTCCAGCTCCAGGCACTCCCTCCTCCCACGTAAGAAATGCTGTTCTTTGGATCAAAGTTTCACATTTGAGGGAAGTCAGCCTAGCATCTGGCTGAACTCTCAGAGGGCGCACGAGAGAATGCTAGTGACCAGGCAGCCCCACAAAGACGTAGGAGAGGGCGTGTGTCACCCAGCCCAGCTGCATGGATGACCTCCACAAGGCGTTGGCCAGGTTGGGGACGGGAGTGGGAGGAGCTTCCTTCCAAGCTCTAACAACCCTGGGTCGCCAGGGCCCCACTCCCCATGCAGGGGGCTTCCCTGTGCTGTGGGCCTTTGACTGCAAAGTTCTCCTGGCAGAGATGGGTGTCTCTCCCACTGGACAAACAAAAGGAGCACAGTGCTCACCAGAGGACCCCGAGGAGGGCGGCTGCCCAGCCTCTCAGCACGAGCTGCAGAGGGAGCCCCTTTGCCTGGGCCCCCATGCGTGGAGGGCTCTACTTTCTCAGTTCTGCTTCTATCTTGGGGCACCTCCTCTCCCTCCCTTCCCCAGCGGGAAGCTGTGTCTTGTCTGGAGCCAGGGGACAGAAACTGCACCATATGTTTTTCCAAATCTCGTGGTCTCATACTTGGAATTTTGAAAATCTGTGTTTTTGGTTCCAGGCCAAGGCTGATTCCTTCAGACCCTGGTCACTCTGGTCTGGTCGCCTGGACTGCTGGGGCCTCAGAGGACGCTTGGAGAGAGTCACTGAAGCCTAGGACAGAGGGCTGGTGTGGGGGGGTGAGAGCAACCCATTGGTTAATACTTCAAAAGGATCCTCTAGATTAAAGCAACCGAAGAGATAGAACAGCCAAAGGCATTGTATGGAATTTGTTTGGATCCTGGTTCAAACAAACCGATTTTAAGAAGACATTTTGGGATAATCAAGAAAATTTGAATTTGGACTGGGTATTAGAAAATATTTAAGAATTTCTTATTAATTTTGATATGGGTGATAATAGTATTGTGGTTATATAAGAAAATGTCCTCATATTTTAAAAAGTATATATACTGAAGTATTTGGGGGTGAAGTATGTCTGTGATTTGTTTTTAAATACTTAAGAAAAAAACCTGAGGAAGCAAATATGGTGCCTTACTTAGCCAGTTCGGGCTGCTATAACAGAACACCACAGACTGAGTGGCTTATAAACAAAATTTATTTCTCACAGTTCTGGAGTCTGGAAATCCAAGATCAAGGTGCTGGGAGATTCAGTGTCTGGTGGGAGCCCACTTCCTGGTTCATGGACAGGTGTCTTCTCACTGTGTTCTCACATGGTGGAAGGGGCAAGGGAGCTCTCTCAGGCCTCTTTTATAAGGGCACGAATCTCATTCCTAAGGGCTCCATCCTCATGATGTAATCACCACCCAAAGGCCCCACTGCCTAATTTCATCACGTTGGGGATTAAGTTTCAACATATGAATTTGGGAGGACACATTTGGCCTACAACATCTGGTAAGATGTTAGTGGTTGAATCTGGATGATGGGTATGTGGGATTCTTTATACTATAATGTATGTCGGAAATTTTTTTTATAATAAAAAGTTAAAAATATACACACAAAAAGTTACAGAGGAGAACCAAACACACCTGTTTACCCACCTTGATGGTGACTGAATTCTGTCCTGAGGTTCTTAATCCCCTGTCTCTGGAGGGGTCAGCTCTCAGCTATAATAGGGAGGTGACAGAGAGGGGCCAGTTGGAGAGACTCCTACAAGCTTTGACCAGGGGTTGTAGCACCACCTGCAGCTCCTCTGCCTGACAAGAAGGGGGAAGGAGCTTTTCTCCAAGAGCAAATGCAACCTTCTCCACACCAGCTCTTGCTGGCTCTTAAGCATGGTTTCCTCCCTTGTGTGCTGTGTTGCTGCGTGAGCAGTTCAGGGGCCTGCCTGAGGGAAAGTAGGACACAGACCATATGCCACTGAGTGACTGCGAGTAAAGTTCTTGTTATTTCAGCTTCAGATTGCTCTTGCTGCCCTCCCCCCACGCCCTCCCCCCAGTCTGCACTGTCCCGTCAGTGTGCTGGCTGTCATCCTGCACTGACTCAGTCACAGACTCGTAATCAGGAATAATCCTATGCCCGTCCCCTTGTGAGGCACTGGCAGAATGACTGTCCGTCAGGGGCAACGGAGAAGGCCTCTTGCTGGAAGAGTCAAAGCAGGCCTGAGACGGACTCTCTTCCCAGCTCTGGGCCTTGGCACCAACTTCTACGTTTCCATCCTCAGTTGTCTGCACTCTCTTAGTCTGAACCTTCTTGGGAAGGAGAGATTCTTTGCCATCTTCTTATCTCCTCTTTCTGGCTGAAACAGGCTTTTCTAGAAAACCGTTTTTTTCCTTCTGCTTTGAACTATGCTGGATATTCTATTTTCCTTTGTGTGCTCCAGTAAGAGGTAAGTGCCTTTTCCTGGTGCGGGGCCCAGCCTGGTCCTTTCTCACTGACCACAGCACCCGGCTGTCCCGAGTGGGAAGGAAGGCGTCACGTGCAGAGGTCGTGCCTGGAGAAAGCTGTTGCTGAAACCTTCCTGAGCTATTCCCACCGTAAGTAATGAGAAAGACTGCTCTCACAGAAGCAAAAAATAAATTTAAAAAATCCCAATTATACTTTGTCGGAATCAATATTTGATATTTCCACAACATTTTAAATAGGTTCTTTAATTTTGGTTTTTTCCTTCCTAGTGGTTTTCCTCTTTGTCCCAATTATAATAAGTTAATGGGAACTACAAGTCTTACCAATGGCATACACAGGTTCGTTTTTTTCAATTTCTGCTAATTTTCAGTGAATAATAAGGGCACTGACACCATACAAACTGAGCTGGAGTCCCACTGGTGTGACATCATGCAATAGCTCAGACATTTCACTTGTCGGCGGCTTCGTGAAAGTCCAAATTCAGTCTACAAAAGGTGATTGGAGAAGGTCAATGTATAAAGTTTGAAAGTGTGGGTTGTTCAGAGGTCAAATATACAAAAGTTGAAAATGTTGTCCAGGCCCAACTAGAATGTAAGCGCCTCGCAGGCAGGACTGTTGTCCGCTTTGTATGAAGCTGTGTCCCAGTGCCTAGAACAGAGTCTGGCACATGGTAGATGCTTAATACTTACTGGATGCATGAACTGCCCATGCTTTGGAATTCTTGTAGCCACTTGTCACATTCTTCCATGTATTACTATTATCGCATTATACTTCAAGATTGAAAGTTTCTTGAAAGCAGAAGTAAATCTGTCTTCCAACACCTACATCACCCATAAT